TCTGAATCCAAGTCTTGCTGCTCACTTCATCAGGTGCACGTCTGGGGATTTTTTTTTTTTTATTGAAAATACAGCTTACAAATACAGCGACTATTTCAAAATGTACTTCCAAGCCCATAACTTCTAGTGAAAATAGAAAAACATTTCCCTGAAAAAAATTTCAGCATGAATGCACGCAAATGAATTCATAGGCTTTTCTGAATCAATAAATCATTTTTTGCCACATCAGAGTTGCGCCCATAGAAGAGGGACCCTTAAGAACATGCATGTTTTCATACCTGTAGCAGAGCTTTCTGATCGGATCACATCTATGCGTGTGTGAATTTAAAATATGAGCCTAATGCAAAAAACTTTGAAACTATATCCGTTTAAGTATATAGAGCCATTTCCTTGCTCAGAAGTGATCAAGTCCTCCCTGAGTATTGTATTAGCAAGCAGTCCAAAACCTAAACTCATTTGCATTTCAGCAGACTACATCTATCTCACTTGTGTGTCAAAGAACCTGGCAAATTTTAAATCAGTCCCACTAGCTTCACTGGGAAGAGCAGGTATTCAACACCTTTGCAAAATCAGGTAATTTGTTGGGTTGTTTAAAGCTGTAAACTCAAGTCTTGTGTTTAAACCCATTCAGCAAGTTTAGAGGAGTAAGACCTAGACCCCCAGACTGTAAGACCCTGCCCTACAGCTTGGTCATTCACAGTGCCATTGATCTCCCATGTGCATCCTTGGACTATTGACACAACAGTAATTATAGTATTAACTAGTAAGATACATGGCAGAGTTTCATACCGAAACCACAATCCATTGGAAATTAAAATTACCCCCAAGATCTGTAAAAGCTGCTGCTTGGCAATGCTCTGCACCTCCTGCCAGATGCACCGAGACTTCTTGATGCTGTTTGTGTGAACAGGTTGATATAGGGCCAGTCAAAAACCATCAAAAAACTGTTTCTCAAATTTAAAAAATGGGAGGTTACTCAAATCAATTGTTTTTACAAGAATACCTGAGGCTGAGCATGAATTTTTGGAAACTGAAAGACCAGTTTCCAGAATTTTTTAGACTAGTTTCTAGTAATGTCCAAAAGCCATCCCAGCGTATGTATTTGTCTTTGCTCTTGACTTCCAGCAGGCAAATAATGCTCTATTCTTCACTCGCAAACTGCAGCTTTTCATTATTCTGTGTTCAACTTTACTCAGAAGACCCGAGCCCTCCCATAGAAAATAAAATAGGCAAATCTCGTCATTTAAGCTCTATGGCCCTTGAGCAAACGAACCTCTCCATGAGTAATATTTAAAGGAGATAATTTTTCTTCAGCCTCACTACCACTCTTTCTGCCTATGCGTTCCACTTTGCAGGGATCAAAACAGTGTGTTGTTCTCATCTAGAAAGCTCTTTTTTCCTGTAAATGGGGTTAGTTATTTCCTCCGTATTATAAAATGCGGAGGCCATACTTCACCGCAGCTGCCAATAACGACAAATTCAGAAGCTAAAACCGGTTGTTGCTCTTTTTTGTTTTTTTTTTTTTAACCTAGTTGCAAACGGTGGTCACTATGGCAGCCAGCCAGCAGCAGTGGTAGACTGAGAGATGCTAAGAACGCACAACCCGGAGCATGCTGGGTGCCAAGGCCGGCTCTGCCATCGGCTCCGCACCCGACCTCCGACCTGCAGGTTTCCCACCGCCCTTCAGACCCCAGCTGGCCTCCGGGGAACCCGCAGGAAGCGCCGTGGCCGGCATGTGGCTCGACGACCCCGCGAGCTGCAGCCCGCCAGGCCGCAGGCGAACCCGCCGAGCCCCC